TTACCATGAATTTCCGAAATCCTCAGGCCTGCTCCTGAATTATTTAAATTTTTGCAGCATTTGTTTATAATTGTATGTATATGTTGTTTGTGTTATTATCATATTCAATTGAATAAGTAGACCATTTCGGAATTTGAAATTTGGGACTCTCTCAATGCATAATGGGATTCATACTTTTCTGATCAGTGAGTCCCTGGGACTCGCTGCAGGTAAACTGTAAAATGATCACTGCGAGATTACCGCTTTTTCTGCAGTCAGTGATTGACTTCTATGCAAAGTCATTTCTCAACTTGTGTTCCGTGCCATGTCATGCCTGTTGAGTGTTGATTTACTTCATATTAAGAAACTACTGCACTAAAACATTAATTCATAAATGTATATCATATGATTTTATTTCTTTTTCTCAGGATAAATAACACGTACCCTGACTGTTCTACTCTTTGAATAAACACACTTCATTCAAGCGTTAGGGAAAGTGCAAAGGGTTATGTTGGAGGGGTGTTGCAAATCATGAGGACCTGCCAAGTGGTATGATAGCATTGTTTTATACATGTCCTCGGCTAGGCCTCAATTTCAAAATCAGTCCTTGGTCCTTGGCCTTGGCCTCGGAACTTGGCCTCGGAAAATTTCTCAAGTCCTTGGCCTTGGCCTTGCCTCGGAAAATTTTCCAAGTCCTTGGCCTTGGCCTTGGCCTCGGAGGCAAGGCCTTGGCCTTGGCTTTGGCCTCGGGTTGCCGGTCCTTGGACACAACACTGCAAAATAGGCATCCGAGACTGCCTTCCACTCCTGTTGGTGCATCTGTGTGTGACAACCCCCAACCACACACACACACGCACACGCACACACACACACACACACACACACACACACACACACACACGCGCGGTCAGGGGTATCATCGTTGAGTTTCGCCTTTGCCATGTTACTCTGCCTACTCTTGCTCCTCTCCTTCCTCCGTCTCTGCTCTCCTCTCTCTCTTTGCAGTGCTGGAGTGTGACAGGAGGTGGGGCTGAAGTTAGGGGCGGAGCCTTACCCCATCACCTGTGCCACATCAGCTTGAAAAGGTGTGGCAGCCTATTTGACCAGCTTCTCTCATTTTTCTGTGCTGAAAGATCTTTGACACTCACGCTGTGGCTGCTTTTCGTCCTGCCACGCAGTCCAGCCTCAAGAGTCGCCCAGTGATCTAGTTTATCTTGTTGTCACAAGTATGTCCCTAAAGAAGGATATTTTCAGCTGCAACGTTGTTTTGTTGTGTTTATAACAGTTTTGTTTTTGAGTAGATTCATTTTGTATTGCTACTTTGGACAAAAATGTTCATTTTTGGTGCCCATCTCTGCTTCCTGGGTCCTGGAATTTTTGTTTGCCTCACGGCTCATAACACAGGGCGGTGTTTTTAAATTATTAAGAATGATAATGGGCGCCATGGTGGTGGACTGGTAAGCACGTCCACCTCACAGTGCAGAGCTGAAGGGTTCGATTCCGGTTCCGGCCTTCCTGTTTGGAGTTTGCATGTTCTCCCCGGGCCCGCTTGGGTTTTCTCCGGGTACTCCGGTTTCCTCCCAAATTCCAAAAACATCTATGGCAGGTTAATTGAATACTCTAAATTATCCCTCGGTGTGAACATGTGCGCGAATGGTTGTTCGTCTACGTGTGCCCTACAATTAGCTGGCAACCAGTTCAGGGTGTACCCTGCCTACTGCCTGATGACAGCTGTGATAGGCATGCCTGTGACCCTTGTGAGCATAAGCAAATTAGAAAATGGATGAATGGAAAATAATCAGCATTCAATTCATTGATTACCACAGAGGGTTCGCTGCATGCTGATATTTATGACTGAAACGTAATGAAATCCACCATACATATAGTAGCAGCGGAGCACAGAATTTATCTGCTTGTACCTGGATCAAATCCACTAAAATCACATTACACTACCTGCGATACAACTTAGACGTGGTTTCGCCTGGTCTAAAGTCTTGTCTACTTTCTGCAACAAGACTGTCAGGCACGCTGGGCATGCAATATTAAAAAAAAAAAAAATTGAGAAAGTTAATCCGCATTCTGTGTTTGGCTTCAGTATTTGTTGAGTGCTTCTTTGATGTCAACACTTCAAAATTATGTGACACACCAAAAATAACATCTCTGTTAAAAATCCAAATGATGGAACAATGAGCCCAGATCCGTAAAATCTATCAGCAATATCAAGTATGTTCAAAACATCACTCAACCTTGCTGACCCAATTGAATCCTGGACCAGTACACAGCTTTATTGCTTTCATTACCATATGAAATGAGGAAGCTTAAGAGCTCTCTCCCACGAGGCGCCACTAAGAGGATAGAGTACGTTACAGTATATTTACTCTCAAACAGTCATGTCTGCGGGTTGTTGAAAGAGCTGCTATGCAAAGTCATTTGAAACAAAGCATTCTTAAATCCATGGCATTGACATTTGAACAATGACTAAAACAGAGAAACAACATATTTTGGCTTTAATTTGGAGAAAAAAAATCACTTGACAATTGTATGCTCACACTGGGTCACAAGTGAAGCTCTGTAGACATTTGCTGATGCTCCAGATGGGAAGGTAATTCTGCCTAAATCTGATGACAAACCCACTTGGGCTCCAAGCTGTGTGAAGCCACATTTCCGCCCATCTGAAAGCGATCACGATGTCAAGGCTGCAGAGAATCTAGAAGTATGAATCAGTGACCATTTGGGCTTTGTCATAAAGAAGCAGGAGATGGAATAATGGACGACATAGTATAAAACACAACAATGGGGAGGTCAGTGTTTGTCTCAGCCTCAAAGGATGCCATCCGAGCTGAACAAACATGCACACACTTCATTCACCCTTTCTGCATTTTACATTTTTTCCTTGATCTTCCACTGGACCATAGAATATGTTTCCTGTATTCTTGCTACCTGTCTATGATATAACAGTAACCATTTGAATGACGCTGCAGCCGAGCTATTTAAAGCTCATCAATTCATTTTCCCCCCCTCTGTAAGATACCCCAAGAGGAGGGAGTTTAGTCTAACATCTCCCTGCTGTATGCTGAGACCACACGTTTGGAGTGGTAAATACCGGAAGTTCTTCTTTTGAAAGCCTTGTAATTTGTATAGTTTTGTGCAAATATATTAGTATTTTCTTCTAGCCCGCTATAATATTAAACTGTATTACATAATACTAAAACGTCATGGAATACAGCTGTTAGTTACGTTATTGTTGTCAAAATGGCCACCGCTATGAGGGTTTATACAGCCCATTGCTCTTATTTTGCGAAGCTGTACCGGATGTGTAGTTGCATTTTGCTTTTAAGCTTGATCTAACTCCCCTTTCGCTGCACCTCCACGGCATGCAAATTAGGAAGCAGAGCAAAGGCGTCGCAGAGTTGTTCGCGCTTTACATCGCTCGGCGCTGTGAGAGCGGAACGTTGCGGAATACACCTTTGGTTAAAATGGTGTGCGCTTATGTAGAAAAAAAATAAACAAAACAGCCGTTTTATTCCACGACACCATACTTTTTAATGTTGTTGTTTTTTAATTCCTTTCGACTGTGAACTAAAACCCATTCACTCTGGAGATGGTGGCGAAGGACTAGTGTCGCCCATCGTCCCGGCATCAGAAGAGAAAGCGCGTTTTTCATTTTTTCACGCATGTGACAGCGTGTCAGTGACCGGGGCAAGTGGAGACCTGACTCAAGGAAGAAGTTCACCCTCACCGCGGAGAGACTCGCTTCCGCGCACCGATGGACACTGCGCGCTGCCATTTGGAATAGCTTCTTTCCCATCACTTTTTGTTGGTAAGAACTCAGTGTCATTTAATTTGATCTCCACTGTATCTTCAATTTTATTACAAATGTAGTTGTTAGATGAACTTTCGGAAAGCTAATGTACCGTAGAAACTACTGTTTTGTGATGCACATACTGTATGCACTGCATCCGATCAATCATCGGTAATCATTTCAAACTGCCATAGCCTCTAATGTAGATCATTTCAGATCAGGAAGAGACACGACGTGTTCCCAATTTCCATCTATATTTTGGAAAAACAAAAAAAAAAAACAAAAGCTTGAACTTGGCATCTAACCTTGAGGACACCTGGTTGGTTGCCCCTTTGACACAATCGACGGCACAATGCAGCCTCATTCTGTGCCCTTTCACTGCCTTGAGTCCAACGATACCAAAATTAATTTCTCGCTTTTCACAGGTCACTGTGTAATTATAGTAGGCGTGTTAGGTGTACAGAAGGTTATTTGCGTTAACCCGAGGCTTCAGGTACACTCTACTCTGTATGACGACATATCCGAAAGCAGCGACGTTGTTTCAACACCGTAACATTTTTAAACGGTTCTGCACCTCCAAAGTAACCGAGTCTATCCGTTATCACTCCTTTTTCGCTCTCTCTCTCTCTCTCTCTCTCTCTCTCTCTCTCTCTCTCTCTCTCTCTCTCCCCCCCAAACACTTTTTTTTTTTTTTTAGATGTAACACCTTTCTGAACATCACATGATTTGTTGGGTTACTTTATTATGCAGATCATAAATAGTGCCATTCCCTCCGATTTTATTCCAGCATCGGTTAATTGCCACAGCATGGATACTTGTTAACTTCAAACTTGTGAAGTTCTGGGTTTGAATTTCAGCTCCCATCCTCATGTGTGAAGTTTGTTTGTTCTCCCTGTGCTAGAGTGGTTTTTCACTGCTTAACCAAAAAAACATGCCTGACAGGTTCACTCGACACCCTAAATTGTCAGGTGTGTAAATGGGTGTTTGTCTCTATGTGGGTTGTGACTGGTTGGTGACCTCTGGTCCAATTTGCTGGGGACAGAATCCAGCTGACCCCTGAAACTAATGGGTAAGCGGTATTGACAATTAGTGGCTAAATGGTTAGCTGGTGTGGTAGTGAATAGATTTCCAGTATTTGAATCACAAATCTGGCAGTCCCATATGCATTTTGTCACCAGTCAGCTGGAATTGGGTCGAACACCTGCACCTCATATCCAAATAAGTAGTTATATAAATGATGAATTCAGATTTCGCATGACGCCCTGCGATTGCCTGGCAGCCATTTCAGGGTGTACAGCTCGAAGACAGCTGGCATAGGCTCCAGCACGCCCGCAATTATCGTGAGGATAAAGCTGATTAGAAAATGGATGGATGGATGGATGAATTCACATGAATCTCAATGCATTCATTGTATGGCTGGGCATTTTAAAGTATCTCATGATTAGGAATGGTATGGTTAAAATTTCAACGATACCGTTCACTTCATGATACTGCTTATTGATCCGGTACTTTAGCGGTCTTCATATGCTTTTTATTTTTTTATTTTTATTTTTTTTTTTTTGGTTCAAAAAACATTAAAACAAATTATTAACACAACTTAAAAAAAATAATAAATTAACTTGTCTTGCAAATACAACATTAATGTAAAATGAATACAGAAAAAAAACAATAATTTACAGAAAAAGAAATAACAACAAATAAGTCACCACTGGAAGGTTAGACATTATATTAACCATTATTTAGTGTTAAAGAAAACTGCTGTAGTGCAACAAGGTACATGCAGTTGGACTGCTAAAAGCACTCCTGTGAGGCAAGGTGCACATTTAGTATATGTTTGTTAAGCTTGCTTGTGTTTCCCCTTGACTTTTTAATGATTACTTGCATTGTCACCATAAACCTTTGAGAAATGTAACCACATTTTTGACAATTTCCGTCCAAAACAAGGAACACCGACCTTGCAGTCAGCTGTGATGTGCTAAATGTGTGAGATTCATGCGTGAACTACTTATTTCAATCATCCATCGCAAACTCTTGCTGTCGCCTGATAGGCGAAGAGTAATGGAGTTGGCAAAAGAAAAGATGATTTCATCCCTCCATCTCTCTTCCGGCAAGATCACTCAAACCAAAAATAACCAAATTTTCACATTAGTGTAATGGATGCAATGAGTGTAAATTGATTAATCATACCTCGAGAGTAAAACGTTCAGATGCTACGTTTGTAGCAACTGAGCCAACCCGATGTAAAGGACATCAGTTTGCACTGCGTGAGTGCACGTTAGTCAAATCTCCTTTCATTTCAAAGCCGCGAAGTTGACCCCTCTGTGCTCCGAAAGCCTGGTACACATGGCAGGATAATTAGATCGATTTGAGTCCCGAATCTCCCCTCTCAACAATTGTAAAGATTACTGTAATAGCGCAAAATATCCCTGCCATGTGGGGTGTTTTCAAATTGATCTAGATTGCTCAGAAGATTGTTTGGGCCGCTCCGATTTCAAACCGTGAATATTCAACAGTATTGAATATTGAATTATGAACATGATTATTTTGGCCTGATTTATCCTTGTGTGTGGTGCGCCCCAAAGACAAACGTCCACGCAGCCTCTTGACAGTGACGTGGAGCCAATCAAAAAGTGAGATGACAAGACAGCGAGAAAGCACGGCTGGCAATCCAAAATCAAAACAATCATGGCGCAACGGAAAGTCCCTGCTCGCTCGTGACCATCATTCCTTTGACCAGCCAGCGCCATTTGCCTTTGTCACTTTTTTCTGCTAAAAACAAACCACAAACTGTCACCACCTCCTCCTCTTTGTCAGACATGTATTTTTTTTTATTCTTACATCTTGAGAGGTTTTGCGAGATGTCCCTGACTGAAATTGTTCAATGTGTGATGTGCTGATTTTGCCGTGTGGCTGCACACAGTACATTCAAAACTGTTATACCTGTGATTTTTATAAAAAAAAAAATACTATTATTTTTTTTTTTAATATAGTCATGTGTGGGATCTGACAGAGCTTGTAAGTCTTGGCGACAAGAAAAACTGATTGCGCACATTAAAACTGGCTGTCTTGGCAACCGTTTGCGACCTTGAACGAGCCCTGACGAAAAATCAACATTCACTCGTGTTCCCAAACACTCGCCGCTCAGTGGGATACGGGCTTAATGCTGGCGGCACTACTTCGAAGCCCCAGTTGGTGGGGCTTAGAGTTGCCCTCGTGATGCTAAAACCAAAACCACGCATCCAAATAACATTATAAAAATTGTAAGGTTGCACGTCATCGTGTTTTGATATAATACTACAAATCATATCGTAATATGGTCGCACAACACTTCACTGGCGCAAGAAGAACCCGTTCCTGGGCCTCTCGTGCATGACGCTGGAGTGGAATGAGCTAGCTTGCCACTGATTGTGACATCATGATTTTTAGACAAATACATTATATGACTTTTATTGCGAGTTAGAAAAAATTGCCTAGAGGTAGAAGGGGCAAAAAAATGTTCATATAGTCTACATACGTTGAAAATAATTGGAGTAATTTCTCAAAGATCGTGAACAGAACTGTCAAGGATGCTCCACTTTTTAAAAATGAGTACTGGTGCTCGGTACACATCCCTACTCACGCTTCAGTTCTATTTCGATTCATCAGGTTGCGATTCAATTTGATTTCCATTCTTCAGGTTGTGATTATAGTCAGTATCAATTCAATAAGAAGAAATTAATACACCAATAGGAATGTCCATCCATCCATCCATCCATTTTCCAATCCACTTTATTCTCACAAGGGTCGCGCAGCAGTGCTTGAACCTCTCCCAGCTGTCTTCGGGCAGTAGGCGGGGGCACCCTAAACACACACTCACACCTCGGGACAATTTAGAGTGTTCATTCAGCCTGTCATGCATGTTTTTGGAATGTGGGAGGAAACCGGAGTACCCGGAGGAAACCCACGCAGGCACGGGGAGAACATGCAAACTCCACACAGGAAGGCCGGAGCCGGAATCGAACCCTGCACCTCCGCACTGTGAGGGAGACACGCTAGCAAGTGGACCACCGGACCACCTGCCAATAGGAGTAAATTGTCACAATTTTGAAAAATTTAACCCCACCATATGAACACGTCGCATGTCACATCATATTTTTGAGCAATAAAGCATCTGGAAATGAAAAACAAAAATGCAGATGAACTTATTTGTGTATATCCTCCTGACTACCAGGAAAAAAAATGTTGTCCAATCACATTTATTTTGACATTCCCCAATCTATGTGAAGTAATTGGACTCCTCCAAAAGAAATTTTTGAAATCCCACTACATTTTTTAAACAGGCTCAAATACACTTAAAACAACTCAAACAACACTTTAACGTGTTCATAAGAGTCTTATAAATAAAATGCCAACAGCATTTCAAGACTAAATGTGGTCGATAAAAAGTATTACTTTTCCTCTTCCCATAAAAAGTGCTTGCACTGAGGGAAGCCATTTTCTTACTTTTTCTAACCCCTACAAATTTGGTATCATTGGAAAGCACTGAATGTCCTCTTTAGAGTAACAAAAGGAGTTCATGCGATTGGAGGCACTGGGTGGGAGATATTTAGGTTTACAAATGTCCTCTACAGAGGACAAATTTGAACTACTGGTAGTCAGGAGGATATGGGGTACAAAAGTCCACAACATGAAAGTTGTGTATAACATTGAAAAACTAAAGTACTGTCCATGTAAACAAATAATTATTTTCTCTCGGAAATTGTAATAAAATCACAAAAACTTATTTGTGCATTTGGAGAACAGTAAAACAAACATGATGAAAGATCTGTATTGAAACATTAAAACGCATGTAAACGTCATATTTCTTTCGTCTCACCGAAGTCAGAAGTGATAGTCAGGTCGGGGGCAGTCGCTCTGGAAGGCCAGCCGTCACATGTAAGAGTTTCACTCTCTCTGCTGACTTCAACAAGTCCCACATGGATTTGCTGAACGATATATATACCCAACCCTAGTTGCTCTTAAAGAAACCATATCATGCA